GAATGACATGCGACGGGCGCCTGAACTGTGGGAGAGTGAGAGGCCTGCATGGCGCGGTCTCCCACATAGCCCAGGCAGGTGGTGGAATGGCAGAGTGGGAGAACAGACCATGTTTGTGTGAAGATGCAACAACTAGCTCGCACTCTGTCTTTTTTTTTCTTCTTCCTCCTCTCTTCTTATCCTTCCCTCCGTCCGCTCCTCAAACAGACTGCTCGAGCTCTCTTTGTATTGTATTAAAAGGTTGTAGGTTAGCAAACAACAAGATGCCTTCCCACCTGTATCTATCCCCCCCCTTCAATGAGTCATGAATGAATCGCTGTCTTTGTGCGGATCATTTGCGAGCGGCATATTGGTCAGAGGCGTAAGACGAGTTTAAATGTCAGTGGTTTCGGCGCTGCTTCGTGCTGTTTGAGAACAAGGTGTTGTTAACATAATGTAAGCTGGAATTATGTTATTCTGTCTTTGTCTTAAAGAAGCAAGAAGAAGTTGTGGCAGATAGTGTTTGGAAAAAGGGGTAGGCAGAGTGTATGTATTTAATGTCTGACCTTCTAATACTATGGCAGAGGTTATTATGCATAAAAACATCATACAGAACTAAACAGTCAGTGAAGCTTATGGACAACATTTATGAATTCATTGTTTCTATATCGAATGATTTGTAAAATGGCAGCCTGCCAGGTAGTGTACATTTCTCAACATCAGAAATGCAGTCATGTAAAGATATTGTGTTTTGTGAAACATGCACTATCAAATGCTGCAGTGCAAAATAAAAGCCCAGATCAATAGCACTCCAGTCTCCAACACACACACCTCAGCACAGCCAAGTACATGAGCGTGTTTAAGAGGTTCATGTTACTGCATGACAGTTGGCATGAGAGTAAAAGGGGCATGTGCCAAGAGGAGCTGCCAATGCCCAGCATGGCTGGTTTTAATATTTTAATGTGTTTCATTACAACAGTATGGGCCAGATAGCCTTTCTGATGGCCACACAATTGTCTGCAAATGAACAAGATTACATGACCAGCCCTGAATGACAGCGCTGTCTACCCCGGCCACTTATCTGATGGTCGCCTAGCAACAGATCCCTGACCTGGCTTTGACCTCCACCCGATAAGGTCAGCACCTGAAGCCTCTCCCATTGGAGGGCGGGAGGAGGGGGCGGAGCTTGGGGATGTGGGGAGACAAAGGACAGCTCCTCTGCATACAGCACTGCGCCCTGCTCATAAAGTGCACGTACAAAATCCCGCAGACCCTCGGAGCAGGATTTAGCCTGCGCTCCTATTTGTTCATGTGGGATAAAAACGAGTGCATTTGCTGATACAAAAGCCTCTTAGCATATTCAGCTAGTGCCTTCTTCTACACAAGGTTATGTACATCTCCCCTTTGGACAGTGCATCAGCTCCGGCTCTAACTGTTTATAATGAACTCTTTTGTTGTGGCCAAACACGGCAGACGCATCACGAAGGAGGTGCTGAATGTGAAATTAATGGAGCACAGCAGCCCACCCCGATAGACACACACTTCCCTCTCTATCACCGGCAGACAAAGCTCACTTGATTTAGCAGCAGTGATATGCAAGTTAATCCAAATTGTGATGGTGGCAATATCCTATTAGAGAAAGGCAATAAAACCATGCTGGGACTGGTAACACATTACAGATATCCGAACATGTTGAGCACGCTCCATTACAATATGAAGTGACATTAATCAGCAGGGGGCCGCGCACACACACAGGCGAATAAAACAAACAGCAAATCATGGAGTCGGAGGAGAGGCAGGGGGAAGGCGACATAGCCCAAAAGAACGCACTGATATCATTTAAAAAGCAAAATAGTAAGTGAAAAGGTTTTATCGTCGGCCTTCTGCTAAATAAATGATGGGGTATTGTAAATGGAAGGCTTGTCAATGAGGCAAGGGCAAAGGGATGTAAGTGAATATCTTTTCGCTTTTTAAGATTATTTCAGTTCCAGCCATGATCTTATATTTATTGAGGTTTTTGGAAATTATTTTCAAGGATTTACTCTTTACATCTTGTTAGCATCGCTTTGACAAATAACTTGTCAGATAAATAACATCTGACTTTTCGAAGTGTTTTTCAGTAGGGGTGAAAGTGTGCACAGCACCATAAAAAAAATGTGTTCAATAAAAAATATATTTAGAGCATTCCAAGTGACTTTCTTTCTCATTTTATTCACAATCTTGTCCTTAGTAATAATGACAAAATAAAAAGATAATCAATATAATCCACTTATGTATGATAAATAAATAGTGAAATAGTAAAATAGAAAAATAATCCATTACTTTTTTGCCATTAAAATGATATTGAGACCATTTTGTTTGTAATTTCATGTTTTAGAATGTGACAATATTTGAAGGGTAAAATATGAAAAGAGAAAGTATATGGTGAAAAAAATACTTTTCATTTTAAAAAAGCTGTCTCCCTATTCCACCACTAGCCATGTGGTTTTAAAGACTGTAATTTCTCCTGAGAAATTGCCAATACAAATGAATGGGCAATACTTTTGTTTTAAAGCATGACGTAACGAAACATTTTAGGTCTTTGTGATGGTTTGTTTCTGTGTGTTTGTATGTATATTTTATCTGTTTTGATATCAGCCTGCCATAGGACTGCAAATAAAAATTAGCCTATGGTTAACTCTTGCACAATTACATATTGAAAAACACATGTTGATTAATGTGCACTGTCCAAATTCAAATAAAGATAAAAAAAAAAAAAGATGTCATAGTGGCACAATGACATCATGCTGAGAATGTTTGTTCCTGATATTAGCATGGTCTGGTTTGTAAATTAGTTATCATTTTCATTTTTTACTTACCCCCACTCCTTTTCAGACGGAATTAGTTGCCTCATTCTAGGCAGACAAGATCATACAGTAAATGTTGGCTGTTTGTTTCATGTACTTCATTTTTCATTCATTCATTTTCAAGCTGAAGAAGATGACATAGTCTGGGATCGCGTCTTTCATTCAGACAGAAGACATGTTTTATTGTCAATGGTAGAGACAGCACGATCAAAGCACACGATCACAGAAACAATAGAATGCAAGTGTATTATACAGAGCGGAGGCATGGAGACCTCCAATCAGCAGCTTCCACGGTGTGCTTGTAGCTTGGCCTTCAGATAGACAAAACAAGGGAAAAGTACTGGCTTCTGCACATTGATAGAATGATGAGTTTAACTTTAACAAAAGTTGCTTAAAAGTGTTATGAAATCTCACATTCCCCCCTCTGGTCATACATTCACGTGTGACCATCAGGATTGATAAACAGCAACATAACATCATAACTCAATACTTCAAAAACTCATAAACTCGGTACTTCACTCGGTACCTCAAAAAACTCAGAACTCGGAATACTTCAAAAACTCATAAAACATGTTCAGATCTTTCATAAAACTTGTCAACAATCTTCAGTAAAATACCAAACTTCATCAGTCGATGGTGGTTCCAGATATTGCTTTGAAAACAGTCTCTCCCACTTCTCCGTGTTGGTTTCTTCAGGCTGCATTTGTGTCGAGCCATGAATTCTTCTGTGACGTGTCTTTCAATCACACGTTTCAGCTTCAGTGTCCAGATTTAGCAATTCAATTCAGTCCAAATTATGTCCAAATTCAGAAATCCAATTGTTCCAAATTATGTCCAAATTGTGTAATCCAATTTTTCCAAATGGTGTTCATGCAAAAGAGGACGATGGTATTGTCCATGTCTCAGCAGCTCACAGCCTGACTGGAATCAGGGGCTGTGCAGATTGTCCAAGTGTGCTGGTCCAGATGCATTCTCTTGAGGTTTCTCAGTTTTGGCTTAAAAAAAAACACTTTTTGTGTAAAAAAAAAAAGTCTTCTGTTCTCTAGATGTTACAGACAAGGCCCGCATCCTTCCACCACCTGAAGAAGATGACATAGTCTGGGATCGCGTCTTTCATTCAGACAGAAGACATGTTTTATTGTCAATGGTAGAGACAGCACGATCAAAGCACACGATCACAGAAACAATAGAATGCAAGTGTATTATACAGAGCGGAGGCATGGAGACCTCCAATCAGCAGCTTCCACGGTGTGCTTGTAGCTTGGCCTTCAGATAGACAAAACAAGGGAAAAGTACTGGCTTCTGCACATTGATAGAATGATGAGTATAACTTTAACAAAAGTTGCTTAAAAGTGTTATGAAATCTCACAAAGCCCTTTATTGTCCATTTCTGGGTCAGGGGGGTGGCAATGAGAGCTGCCACCCAATGCTCATAGCACCAGTCCCTCACTGATCCTCTGCAGGGGGTGAGTCCACAGGAAGATGGCTGCTCTGTCAGTGGTGAAACAGCCTTGGTCTTTCAGCGGGGGCTTCAGGCAACGTGGGGTTAAGTGTCTTGCCCAAGGACACAACGACAGTAGACATCAGTGGGAGCAGTTGGAGTAGGTCCCATGATGGGAATCGAACTTCATTTTTCAAATTTTTTTTTGTGTGATCATTTTTCACTTTCTTTTAAAAAGTTGCCTTTACTTTAACTGCTCTATTGTCGTCTGAATAAATAAATAAATAAATAAAATAAATAAATAAATACATTTTGCTTTCACGTCAGATGTCTGTTACTTTATTGTAGTCTTTCAACAACAACAAAAACCCTGAAAGAAATCCTTTTGTTTGTGGCTGTAAACATAACATGGACAATAGTTAAGCGGCTGCATTTTACCATGAAATGTCTGTAAAGAATCTGAAAAGTTGCACAGACCTTGTTCATGTCTTGTGATTTCAATTTCAATCTATAATACAACATTTGTCTACTTTATAATGCAAATGACGAAGAAGTAACTGTGTCTCGTGTGCTACATTCCCATCTGTTCTCAGCCTGTGATAAAAAACGCACTGCTATGAGGAAGGACTGGCCTTTTTCCCCTTCTCTTTCTTTCTTTTTTTCCTAAGACCTCTGGCCCAGTTCACCCAGGGCAATAGGCTCCTCCTCTGTGTATGTGCGTGTACATGTGAGAGTGCAGGCTGAAGGACCGACTGAAGGGCAGAGGGCAGGAAGTGGGCCACCTGTTTCTGCACTCTCTGGTGGACATTGTGACGGAGAGGAAGTGGTGGTAAGAAGGGGATGTGTCACTATGTCGTACGGGCTGCATTTAACCAGCTCTGGATGGCATACAGTCAACTGATAGTGTGCATTTGTGGAGTGTAGAGAAGTGTACATACGCCATTTGAAAGGGTAAGACTATAGCATACAATTTAAAAAAAAATTAAAAAACTATTTGGCCTTTGACACTCGGACTCCAAAAATTCTGAAACTGCTATAACTTTCAGAGCCATCTATTTGACTGCTTCAATTCAAATCATTGAAAGTCTGAGAAATTTCCCCCTAAAAATGTAAGCTTTTTTACCTTTACTCACTTTCAACAAGCGCTAAAACTGATGGGTATACTGATTGAAACACAGCAAAAACAATATGATGACTACTGCTAGTAAACAGCGTGTTGCTATGGTAACAATAAAATAATAATTAAAAAAAATAATGGCAAGGAAATAAACTTTCCATAAAAAAGTATGAAGATCAATAAGGTTCATAGCCTGTGTAAATACTCTCCCAAAACTAAAAGCCGTCAGATTGACTGCAATGGGAGTTCTATTGTTACAGTGTTACATTTTTTAGAATGTAAAATAACATATTTAGTAGACATTTTATGGTGAAACAAGTATCCAGGGTAATGATGCTATCGGGCTGTAACTCCCTATGCTGCCATCAGAGGGAGGTGTAGAATGCGTTTTGTTTTTTCCACAAAAAAATGACCAGCTGCAAACACAGACATGTGATTTTGTGACATCATTTCACTTGAGAAAACTATATGGGCAATACTTCTGTTGTGAAAGGCAGACAACGGCTCTGAGCGTGATGTCATACTGGTACAATGACATCATACTGTTACAGGACTGAGACACTGTCATATTTCATTTCATTTCTTTTTTTTTTCATTTCATTTTTTACCCCTTTATTCATCCATTTCTGGACCGGGGGGTGACAATAATAGCTGCCACCCAATGCTCATTATATACTGTGCTCAAAGATATTACTGATATTTGTGTTATTATGATTATTATAATTATATACAAATAAAAATCACTTTAACTTGTTTCTTGCTCTGTACATTTTTACTCACTTTGCATGCATGTATTTTTTGGCCCCTGTCACATCTTTTACAGACAGAAAGGTGAAAGAATCAGCTCTCAAGTAGTGATTCATAGGGCTCTTTCATATATGCATTATAAGTTTCCTGATCAGAAAAAGAGAAACATTTTTACTTATACAAGACTCTTTCTTTATGTTGGATTATTTATGCAAAAAAATAGGTATGTGAGGTCATCCCCCATTAGGGTTTTATCTGTGTTCAAGGTTGTTCCAAGTTACCGACCAAATGTACAAATGCATTTGTGTTCATGAAAACCTTTTAAGGCCTTGACAACCTTTTAACCTTAACATACAATACAGTTGCATATAGTTCAACTCACTTTTCAGTTTGGGTTCAGTCAATTTAGACATCCACAGAGATATTTTGCAAAGGAAGTGAATCAGTGTGCATGTCAAGGAGACACGTTTTACAGTGGTCATTCAAACAACCGCAGAGGGAGCGACGAAAGGTCAAGCCAGACATTATCCTCTCAACAAACTTGACGCTTCTCCAATGAGTCACATGAAACCTTCAGTTTTCTATTTCTGATTTAAAGCTGGAGTACCTAATTTTGAAAGCACAAAATAATATTTCTAGTTTTCACATACACGTATTTTGTGCCACTGTCTCGCATCTTTCGATCAGCTGTTTGAGAGCAAGGAACTAGTTTGATGGATTTTAATACATATTGTTTGCGGTTTGAGAGGAAGGAATCCAGCTTTATTGTTAACCATTAGAATGATAAAAAGACCTGAAATGTGACATGTAAATTTCTCCTATGTGAGATAAATAAAGCACATCTTATCTTAATTCCCCCACTGTGAGACGAATAAAGGATCTTAATCACTTTGTCATTTCATGTTTTAGAATGAGAAATAGTTTCATCAGTAGAAAAAAAAAATGCTGAAACGAGCGGTAAGGTTAAAATTTGCTTTCCGGCCGCAACTCCCTATGCTACCATCAGAGGGAGGAGATGAATTTGTTTTGTTTTATATCCAAATAGCAGCCATGTGATTGTAGCAAACGTCATTTCACCTGAGAAACTGCTCAAACTAATTTACGAGCAACATTTTCTTTTTAAAGGCCAGAAAACCGTGCTGGATTCTACTACAGAATTGGAACAGGGGCGGAGTTAAATGTTTGTTCCAGAAATTTGACATATTTCAGCATGGATGGATCTAAAAACAACCAACTCCAGGTTTGTTTGTTTTTGATGAGAGAACAATGTAGCATGGTTTAAACTTTTAAAAATAACATTTGCATATTGTGTATCCTTTAAGCAAATGGGTTCTAGCTTTTGCATCCGCTCAGTGCATTGGTATGTGCTGGAGGCGACAACCCCTCACGCACGCTGCATAAATGTGCCAAGTGCGGACGCGAGCGTAGAAGGCCAGAGGGCAGAAAGGGAGTGAACCACCTGCTTCTGTCACATTGTCAGGACCAAACCGGACGAGTGCAAACAGGGTGACCGCGCGTACACGTTACATTGTGTATATAGGCACTGGGACAGGTGCGCGGCCCTGGCACAAGCAGACCCAGGGATTTATCACTCAGCTACAGTCATGGCTAGGCAGGGGACAGATGTTTCTGCTTACCCCAGGGCAACATCCGACTGGCCGGACTCGTACAGCGCTGAGCCGAACCCTGTGCGCAGGACGGGCCCGCGGGGAGAATGTGGCCAAGGTGCAGCGAGCGAGACGCAAAGAAGACAGCAGGAAGGAGGGAGAAAATCTGGAGGATGTTCACTGTGCCCCAAGGCGAAAGCAAGTTAGCTCGTTTCTGTTCCAGCATCCACCTGAAACTCATTTAGCCCCAACTATAACCGAGTAGCCGCAATAGGGAGCCATTTTAATAAGTGGCGATAATGCTCTCTGACAAGAATAGCGGTTTGCAAGGCTGGGGAAGCTTGCTGCAGTTATTAGACTTTCACGTTTGCATTTTTTACTGAGCAAATTTGCAGTTATTTGGTGGCCCAATAAGGCGTCTCTATCTCCCGGTGACTATTTACACTAAAGTTAATAAGATAGGGAAACAGGAGAAATTTGGTTGGCTGAAGAGTGCTTTGGCATTCGCGTACGCAAAATGGGAATCTAGTGTGTGAGCCATAATTTACACATCACAAGGTCTTTGAATGAATAAATCAGACTGGCCAAAGGGGATTTATTTTGCCGCAAGAGCGAGAAAACAACAGGCATATCAGCTAGAAAACTTTAAACTCAATCGTATGAGGTTCCCAAACATTGGTAAAATAATTATGTCATCTATTGTTCTATTTGATTGGATCTACAAAGAAATATACAACATTTGCAGATCTTTGAGGAGAGATATACTGTATTTGCAGATTTTTGAGGAGAGATAGACTATATTTGTTAATCTTTGAGAAGAAAACTATATTTCCTTTGTTAATTTTAAATAGAATATGTAATCTTTTCACTTTTGACAGTTCACAAACTCTTGTCTGACCAGATCTGGCGACAAAGTGCTTGTGCTTTGTGAAGTGCCTTGCTCCAGAGTGCAATTCAATGTAAGCGAACTGGAGCTTGACCTGGCAACCCCCAGAGCCACTTTCACACATTCTATTTATTCAGCAAACGGCCAATGAAAATAGCTGACTGCTACGTGAGACAATGTAAACATTCTGTCCATTGGTGTAATTGCTCTATTTAATATTTAAAGCTGGGGTACCTAACTGTTCATAAATAAATAAAACAGAATGTATGTAATCAACTAGTTCCTCGCTCTCACAACAGTAGTTTTCAAATACACTTAATAATTAATATTAAGAGATCCTTTATTTGTCCTACAGTAGGGAAATTTCAGTGTTGCATCTCTAATTATAGAACAGTAGGAATGAGGAGCACACAACACAAGATAAATGAACAATAACTCATTTACTAAAATAAAATCTCTAACTTTAGCATTAAAAAGAAGCAGATCTACAATCTCCGACTTTAGCCTAATAAGAAGTAAGTGTAAAGTAAGTGTATATATAACAAAATATTTTCCAGTGCAAGACTTATTTAGTTGTATACATCTATTCCATAGACTGTAAATATTAAGATCTGTACATACTGGTATACAATGTGACAAAGTGACTAAGTGAGGTGACAATGTACACATGTGGTTTCGAATTGCACATTCTGACAGTAGTTCAAATTATGTGGTAAAGGTGCACTTTATTGATCACCGGAGTAATTCATCCTCTGCATTTACGTCAGGAGCAGTGGTCACCGTAGCACAGCGCCCGGGAACCCCTCTCCATATGTTGATGCTCGGCTTGGTCAGGACTACTGTAGCTAAATATGTCAATATTGACCATGTCACATTCATCAACAAACAAACAGAAAAACAGTTATTAGACGCCAGATACAGACATTAAAAGCAGACATTAGTAAAAGCAGAAAAAGTGTTGTACAATTACAAACATGAGAAAACAGACAATAACAAGGACAGTAATTCACAAACTATTAGTGCTGCTTTGGCCATCTTTAGATCAGTGTTAGACAGAAAAAGTGAGACAGAGTGGTCCACCTTCACTCAGCCAATCATCTCTCAGCCCAAAGCATCAAATAGTGAGCTTCTTTCAAGTATTCAGAATATATCATATTTTCTAAACAAAGAGCATGTTGTGGTTTGTTCTGATTTTTTTTACAACGTTTAACTTCTTCAAAACTAAATCACAGCAGTAGTTGTCTCGCAGGACTTTACACAAACGTTGATTCACTAGCCCAGATCAGAGAATAAAACAGTTTAAACACAAGAAATGCTATGATTAAAAAAAACACATACTGTACGTAGAGCCATTGGTTCATAAGGCAACACAAGGCGGATGAACAAAGTTTAGAAATGTTGATACGATATGCTATCTTCAACATTTATCTTAAAGGTTCACTGTGTAGTTTTTACTCCCATATGTTGTAATAAGGACAATAATGTCGTCTTTGACAGTGGTCCCCAACTCCCGGTCAAACTCCTTTTTGTCCCTAATCAACCACTGTATTTCAAGATGGTGCATTGACCTGGAGAGTCCTCCAGCTCTCATGTACATTTATAATTCAATTTCTAAGCCTATATTCTTAATAAGGTCACATTTGTTACATTTGTCAAGGACCCCCTTGAAAAAGAGATAGTTTATCTCAATGGGGCTATCCTTAGATAAATAAATAAATGTGTTATTGGTTAAAAAAAAAATAATTTGGAGCAACTGTAAAAATTACACAGACTACCTTTAACATACTTCTTATGTTAAGATGAACGTATCTTTTGCATACTTGCACTGCAAAAGGTGATAAAAAATAGGTCAAAGTTTGCACATTTTGACTGCCTTAAAAAAAGATTGTCTGATAAGTTGATCTAAGGATGTGTGGCCAAATAACAAATGCATTTGAAAACTAGTAATTGAACCAAACCAATATTTGTGAGAGTGAGAGACAAGTTAGATTGACTTCATTACATAGTTCCACATCTAGTTTGAAAGTTAGATACCTCAGCTTGAAGGCTCTCATGAAGGACACAGTTTTAAAGCACTATTGCCTCTTTCACATAAGCGTACAGTATGCGTGTGGGAGTGGAGGAAATTCGAGAGCGTTCGTCTGTAATATGGCCCCGTGCTTTCGTCCCTGGAGCAATGAAGAATGACCTTTAGGTTCAACCCAGAGCCAGGGTCGGGTCAGGGTTGCCATGGCGACTATCAGCGGCTGCCAACATTACCTCAGCTGCCTGGCATTGTCGGGGTCAGAGAACAGGCTGTGACCTCGCCACGGCCACTCAGCTGCACTGGGAACCAAAACAGCACAGAGACAAGACTGTGAGGTGCACTGCATGTGAAAGTTTTCTGCTTCCATTTGCCTGAGTGATAATGAAAGTTACGTGTTTATTGCCAACAGTGTTCATTATTTACGGGGATAGAACAAGCAAAATAATTTACCGACTTACTACTTCATGTTCAAATGTACAAAACCTGCTCAAGTATGATTCTGTTCATAGAGGTTTTTAAGAAAGAAGTAGTAAAGAAATATGTGGAGAAACGTGTGATGGGGAGGGGTGTAGTGTCAGAGAGTGTTTGGGCCTTGTATCAGAGAGAGAGAGAGAGAGAAAGAGTTGTTTCTTGTTTCTCGGTTCTTGTTTTTCTGTTTTATTTTTATATGACACATAGAAGTTTGAAATAAAATACATCATCGTCGACTTTCGGATCTCTCTGGAATATCGTTCACTCTGCCTCTGTCAATATTGGTCTGTTCACCACCATACCAGTCAACCTGTTTTTTTTTCGAGTTTCTCCCTTTTTTTAGTTCTATCTCCCTCTCAAGGTTCTTTTTATGTTGACCAGTTTCTAGATCTTATACAAAACGTTTTATATTCACACAACCCACACACCATACAACTTAAACCCGTTTGTCACCTCAACCTTGCAAGCTAAAACCCAGTTGCGGAGTCGCAGAAAGTTTCGACCAAATGTTGACAGGTTCTGTATGTTCACCACTTCTCTATCGGATAATTCCTTCTCAGTCAGTAGTGCTTACAGCTCTTGTGTTATTTACATATTACTTGAGCTATTTGGATTTCTTTATACTACTTAAGCCTGGCGTACATCGACAGAGTAACTGGAGACAACTAGTTGCAAGGCGGCTTTTGGCGACTGAGAGTAGATGATGGAGATGATCAGTTGCAGAAATCGGTCGATGTGAGCGCTCGTACAACTGGAGATAAACAGTCGATCTCCGGATTCAGTCAGTTGCCCGTGTTCTACTTTTCGGCAACTAGTTGTTCTCAGATCCGGAGATATCACCCGATGTGCACGCTCCGACAACATGTGTGTATTGCGTGTAGTGGGCGCCCTCTACAGTTTATGTCAGAAAACACACTGTTGTTGACGGCCAGTTGCTGTCGATGTACGCGCTGTTATTCCCGAGACTGGCCTGCTTCTAGGAGTTGCCCGTTTTCGCCACATTGTCGATGTGTGCGGGGCAGCAACTCATAGGCGACGGATATAATCAGTTGCCAGTCCGATGTACGCCAGGCATTACTTGCTGCGCGCCACATCTCTTTGGATCCGGTTGTGTCACGTCCCTGCATCCCCTTTCAGCTCTTGGTCTCCTCCCGGCCTGCTCCCTGCCTCCACTGTCTGTAACACTAAGGGGAAGAATATGGATGGATGGATGAACTTCTTCAGCCTCTGTTTTGGGGTTAAATCTGCAAACTGTAATATACTGTTATATATTCTTTTTATAAATATTTGAAAGTATACAAAGCCACTGTCTTGCCTGAGGATACAACGAGCAACAGGCATCTCACTCCCCAAAGGTCTCCCATCACTGCGCAAAGCAGACCCTGCCCTGCTTAGCGTCTGAGGTCTGACTCACTATTTATGTCATGCACACATTACTTAACATAAACAAGCAACATTACAGTATGTTTTTTAGCATTCAAATGATTGCCACTTTCAGTTTTCTGGGTCCCGGTTTGAAAGGTTTGGGAACCCCTCTGTTAACTCCTATAGTGTGTTGTCTGAACTGTGGAAGTAAATGTATAATTGAATAGCCTAAGTGGGAGTGATATTCTTATTTTACATATATTTTGAACAAATTTCTAGTGATTAAATGTTTCGACTAACCAGGGGTTTCTAATCTCAAAGCGCAGGATTTCATTCCAACCAATCAGGATCACACCAGACTCTCTAGCCA